CCCATCATGACTCCCAATTGGTCCATCTCTCAATTTGTTTTCCATATCTGCCACTCAATCTCTCCAGGTCTTTCTAAATCTTAGCACATGTACAATGCTCCCACTTCTTCCTGGATGGCTTACAAGGGTCAGCATTTGCAACCTCCTGACATAAGCAGTGGTCAGTTTTCTGTGGCTACTATAAATTACTGTGAATTGGCAGCATAAAACAACCTCCATTTATTAGCTCACAGACATATAGCTCAGAACTCTGGTGCAATTTGGCTGAGTTCTCAGATCAAGTCCTCACCAACCTAAAGTTAACATATCAGCTTGACTAAATTCTCTTCTGGAGGTTCTTGGGGGAAATCTGATCCCAAGCTCATCATTGTCATTAGCAAAATCCATTTCCTTGATATTGTAGAATTGAAATGCCTGTTTTCCTTCTGGCTATGATCTAGATCTGTTCTTGGCTAGTAGCCACTGTCAGGTACTTATTCTGTGTCCTCCTTCCTCATCGAGCTAGCAACAGCATATTGAATCTTCAAATCTCCTTGAATTCTTCTGCTGCCTGACGAAGAAAACTCTTGACTTTGGGGGGATGGGGATGGGGAGAAGGAGATTGGGGCCACACCTGGCAGCACTCAAGGCTTACTCTTGGTTCTGTACTCAGGGATTACAGAGCTCAGGGAGCCATATGTGGTCCCAGGGATCAAAGCTGGGTCAGCCATGTACAAGGTAAATTCCCTACCCACTGTATTATGACTCCAACCCCCACACTCTTGGATTTTAAAGGACTTTGGTTTGGTTTGGTCTGATTGGATAATCACTCTAGCCTGATGTTACCGATTAGTAGTATTAAGTATATCTGCAGAATCTTATGTCATACAATCATCTTATTAGTAATTTTCACCCATCCTCAAGGGAAGGTGATGTTGTATGAGAGGAGGTCAGGAGCAGGACGGGTGGGGGAAGCGTCTTCTTATAAGTCTATCTACCATTGGATGAGAATCCAGGAAAAATAAACCTGAGAAAAGTTATGACCTTAAGCTGAGATGCAAAGGACAAGTAGGTGTTCATTAAATAAGGAAAGAAAGCTTGCAAAGAGTAGAGCAAATGCTTTGTACTTGGTGCCAAAGAGATAGTACAAGGGTCAAGGCCCATGATTTGATGCAGCTGACCCTATTCGATTCCTCGCACCACATGGGCCCTGAGCATCACAGAGTTTAACCCTGGAGGCCCTGAGCACCACCAGGTTTGGATTTGTCCCCCACCTTCAGCTCCTGGAGCACTGCCAAGGTGGCCTGGGAAATTCCAGGACTGGAGCAACACAACTGAATCCTTAGCCCTGGCACTAACCCACCAATCTGGTTGGTTGAAAATGGGCAGGAGTGGCCCCAGGATCCCTGAACACTGCTTAGGACACCCCTTTGTAATGGAAGGATATAACAAAAACATAGATATATCCCAAAATGAAATAGATGGTCATTGTGTCTGCAGTAGAGAGAATAAGAACCATGGAGCCTTACTGCTGAAGAAATAGCTTAAACGGGGGCCAGAGAGATAGCACAGCAGGAAAGACACTTGGCTTGCATGCAGGTGACCCGGGTTCAATCTCCAGCATCCCATATGGTCTCCTAAGCCTGCCAGGAATGGTTCCTGGGCAGAGAACCAGGAGTAAACCATGAGCACAGCTGAATGTGTCCCCCCAAACAAAAACCCAAAAAAGAAAGAGTTCAAATGACTAAATACATGCTTCACATATGAAAGTCCTGGCTGTAATACCCAGCACCATATGATTCTCTGATCACCACCTGGAGTGACCCCCAAGCACTGCCGGGTACCTGAGACAAACCCCCCAGCCCCAGCTCCTGCAAAGAATCATAGTTATTTGAATTAAGTTTGCTAGATACTTGATCAATAAATAAGTCAGAGGAGCCAAGACATATAGATTTCATAGATTCTGTTAAAAGGTTTTTGTAAAAGTCAGATGAATGGCAAAATAAGATTTGTATTTTGGATATGCCACTATGCATTTCAGATAGAAATGAATATATAAAGGTGTCACGTAAATTTGGATCATTCAAGCCAGAGTTTCTTAAAATTTTTGCATTCGTGACCCCTATTCACCAGAAGAAATGCAACACAGGCAGCACTGCCAGAAACATCTCAGATATATAGATAATTCTGAATTAATTTTTTAACACTGCACATTTAGAAACCTTTTACTGTTGCTCAATTTTTATGACCTCCCTTCCTCATTTAGTTATAAGATCTTAAACAGTTTAAGAAATTAGGAGTTAGTGACTATGAAAGTAGCTCAAGAGACAATGGGGCACCATCAGTGGAGTTCCAAGCAAACCAGTTCAAGAAACATGCTAAATTTAACAGGATTGCATGATTAATTTAATATGGGAATGAGAGGTTACGTTTCCCAGGAAACAGGCTTTAAGACAGGGATTAGTAGAGAGGATGTTTACTAAGGAGTGAACTTGGAGTTAACCTGCACAAAAAAGCATCAAAGTATAACTGAGTGAAGACAGAAGCTGAGCAGTAATTTAATTCTAGCAAAGGCCTTAGTCAACCATATTTCAGAGTTATCCATCCTTTGTGAGGGGGTTAACCAGAACACTTCTGTGCCCATAATTCACTGATACAGGACCTCCTGGCTTTCTCTAGCTCAAGCAACTCCCAATAGACTGACAATAGAGGGCTGTATTTTTACAGTTGAGGAATAAACCCTTCACTTCTAAAAATGAGTCTGGGTTATTTGCTGCTGTTGTTGTTAGTGGTGGTGGTGGTGGTGGTAGTGGTGGTGGTGGTTACAGCCTCTACCACAGGATGAAGGCACACAGGGAGGAAGACATCCAGGAAGAGTCCTAAATTTGATTGGTGCGTGGCTAGACTGATAGTACATGAGTAGGGTGCTTGCCAGCGGACCGGAATTCAATCCCCAGCACCCCATTTGGTCCTCCAAGCCCCCCAGTGAGTGATATCTGGGCACAGAGCCAGGAGTGAGTCCTAAGCACTGCTGGGTGTGGCCTCCCCCCCAAATTTTTTATTGGTGTATCTATCGGTAGGGCGTTTGCCTTGCATGCAGCCAACATGGCCGACCCGAGTTCGATTCCTCCACCCCTCTAGGAGAGCCTGGCAAGCTACCGAGAGTATCTCGCCCGCACAGCAGGGCCTGGCAAGCTCCCCGTGATGTATTCGATATGCCAAACCCAGTAACAACAAAGTCTCCAATGGAGACGTTACTGGGCCCGCTCGAGCAAATTGATGAACAACGGGAGGACAGTGACAGTGATGAGGTCATATGAAAACCATGTGTGATCAAGGTGGCTTTACTGTCACTTCCCCTCCCCAGAGTACAAGCCAGCCACTGAGATTCTGACTGTATCTGACAGCCACTACACAGCCCTTGAGCTGACACCTACTCTGCCAAATAAGTGAGTGCTCATCTACTTCTATTTCCACTCCTCTCTCGCCTACATTTTCTTTGCTCCCCATCACCACTCCCTATTATCATTCCATGTGGGAAAAAGTCCAGCTGGTTATCTACAGGCCCCACCTGTGCTGGAACTGAACAAACAGCAAATCAGGCTCCTCTGGTCCAGGCCTCCAATGGGGCAGGCAGGTAGTGCCAGGAGCCAGGCAGTGGGAAACAGTGACTACATCCCTACCCACCTCAGGCTTAGCTCTTCCTTCATCTAAACAGTTCTAAACCAATGCCTTACAATCCCTATATTCTAGTAATGGGTGGGGCCAGAGAGATAGCACAGAAGGTAGAACTTGTTTTGTCTCGGCCCACCAAGGTTGAATCCCCAGGATCTAATCCCCTGAGACCACCAGGAGTGATCCTCGAGCACCGAGCTAGTATTAAGCCTTGAGCTTATCCATGTGTAACCCAAACCTCCCTTACCTCTTCCGCGCCCCAAGCCTCCCCCTCCCCCCGCCACACACATACAAAGATTGATTCTCTGCATTCCCTTACTAATCTGGTTTTTAATGCTTTCTCCTCTACCAGCTAGTGCAGAGATCAAAGAACAGAATTTCGGGTGTTAGGGGATGAGGAATGCAAAGCCAGCAGGGCTGAAATACTAAAGAAGGCAGTTTCCTGCCCAAGCTGCTAGACCCGCTTCGGTCCTGCGCATGCCCCTTCCAGCTTCGTTCCCGTAGCACCCCAACTATGCTGGCTCCATCCGTCCCCTCCCGTGGGAACCTGACGCCCTACACAGGCTGTTCCACCTACCTGAGAGCAAACTGGAAGCTTCAGTGTGTTGGATGAGGGTGGGCGCTGCTTGGAGACCACGAACAAAGCCAGCCGCCTCCTCCCCTTTGTATGCTCACACTGGGGGCCCGATTGGACCCCACCCCATTTGCCCAAGACAGTTCTCACCACCCTCTAAACACCGAGTGAGACTTCCTCCAGGCAGTCCTTTAAACCCCTGCTAGAGTTCTCAAGAACAAACCTCGGGGGATGAGGGGACCCCTCCCCGACCCCATCCTAACTGCTGCAGGCTTTTTGAGAGTTTGCGGTAAAAACCTGGGTGTCGGGCCCGAGGGAGGAGGAGAAGGGCGAGAGAACAGATGCGGGGACTTCCACCAGCGCGTGGCAAAGGACTGCAGAAACTCTGGCGAGCGCGTGTCACCGAGGCCACTGCGGCACCGTCACTGTAACCAGTGCCCCAGGCACCGCAGACAGTGGCCCACGCACGTGTCTTCTGCCACGGCTGCCACCCCCACGTTCCAGACTCGCCCAAGACGTTAGACACCACGGCAGCCGCGCCCTCCAGCCCGCCCCTCCCTGACCCTGCAGCTTCCCTCCCTCCCTCTCCTTGCAGTCTCCCTCCTTACGGTGTCTCCATTCACCCTGAACCCCACCCCCACCCCCACTCCACGCGTGTGTGTGTGTGTCTGTGTGTGTCTGTGTGTGTCTGTGTGTGTCTGTGTGTGTGTAGGGGTGTGGGCGGGTGAGCGGGAAGACAATCTCTAAGCGAGAGAGCAGACTGGAGAGATCCAGGGAGGGGAGCCCCGAGAAGCGAGCGGCGATGAGGTCCTAAGCGGGGCGGTGAGCCACCAGGTGGGACAGCCGCCAGCCGCCCGGGAGGGACGCGGGCCCGGGCGCGGCGCGGCGCGGCGCGGCGGGCGCAGGGGAGAGGCGGGGAGCGGGCGGGGCGGGAGCCGCAGCCGCCCGCGAGTGCGCGCCGCCGGAGCAGGTGAAGCCGCCGCAGGAGTCCCGGCGGCCGGGCAGAGGGAGGCGGCTCGCCGGGCCCGGGCCATGGAGCAGCTCAAACTGAACACCAGCGTGCAGGGGTCGGGACCCGGGCCAGCGGCCCCCCTGTGCCGCCCGGGGGGACCCCTCCTCAACAGCAGCGGCGCTGGCAACCTCAGCTGCGAATCTCCACGCCTCCGCGGAGCTGGCACACGAGGTGGGTATCTAAGACCCCCTGCATGCGTCCCTTGCACCACACCCGGCTCATCGATGCCCCCCTCCCCCACTGTGCCCGCGAACACCCACCTGTCCCATACAGCACTCTTTGGGTCCCTGACACGTCTATGCCTCACAGCTCCCACCCATCCACCAGACCCCCCTTTACTCCCTGACACACCCTGAGCCCCTCCTCCACCCCACCCCAACCCACAACCCCTCCAAAACGTGGGGAGACCAGAATCTCCTCTTGCCAACCCTTCCAGGCATCTCCTTTCCTTCTACAATCGGTTCACAGAACCATAGTGGGGAGGGAGAGCGAGAAACCAATAGAAGATTGGGGTAAAATGGAAAACTGGACAGGAGAGGGAAAACTGAATAGCCAGAATGGGCCCTGTCTGTCCAGCAGTCTTCTCTAAAGTCTCAAAGCTCAACTGAATTGGATTGGGGGGGGGGGGAAGAGAGGGGAGGGGCTTTATTCTAGAGCTCCCTGTTTTCCTTTCACTCACTTTCGAATTTCACCTCCCAAACCGAAGTTCTCAAGTCTCTCTTACACTGTCCCCAAATATTATCTCCAAGTTCCTTCCAATCCCTCCCTGACTCTCTAATCTGTCTTTCCATAGACTCTCCCCTTCTAGAGCCTGAATGCCCCATTCCTCACCCTCCCTCTGCACTATCATTTCCTATTGCACCTTCAAACTGCTTACTTTTTACCCCAGTCTCCAAAACATCCTTCAACTCCTCTCATATGCCACTATCATCTTTTATTTTTGATGACCCAGCTCAAGTTATATATTTTTTGCACCTTGCCTATTCTTAAGTAGTTATTAGACGCTTACTATTGTAGTTCCTGGGCTAGGTGGAGACCAAGGAGAAACTAGACACAATCGGAATCCTCATTGATCCATAGTCAAGTGCCCGAGGAGGGACAAACCAATGGAAAAATTGCAGTCAGCATGGAAAATCCCTTGAGAGGGTCCAAATTGTGGGCATCTAAAGGAGAGGACATTTGAGAACTTCACAGAGGAAAACTGGTTGCTGGATTTGGAGTTCAGTAGGCACAAAAGTTAGAAGTGGCTGTCCAGGAGAGGGAACAGTGTTGAGCAGAAGGTAATTCAAACAAGCTCAAGAAGGGAACAAATTATAATTCAAGTATTTACCCCCACAAAATAATGCATGCTTTCACAGACAGTTCGTTACACATGCTCAGAGTTTTTGCTTTTTTTTTTCATTCAACAAATTTTTATGAAATCAGAGATTGTGCCAAATACTTGGAATGTGACTAGAACAAAACTGACATAATTCCTACTTTATAGATCCCCCAGTGTAGAGGGGAGACAGATAAGCAGAATCGCAGCACCAAGTGGGCGCTGCCTTGTGAGGTCTAGAGAAACCCAGAAAAGGAACATTGCAGCCTAGCCAGGTCTTGGGAACCAATGTTGACCTCTATAGGAGGTGAGTTTTATTTATTTTGTTTTGGGGCCACACCTGGCAGTGTACAGGGCCTATTCCTAGCTCTGCACTCAGGAATTACTCCTGGCAGGTTCAGGGGACCATATGTCATGTTAAGGATTGAACCCAGGTTGGCTGTGTGCAAGAAAAACACCCTACCCACTGTACTATTGCTCCAGCCCCAACTCATATGAGGTGAGTTTTAAACTGACTTAAAATTTAAATTCACTTTCTACATGAAGGGCAGAAAAGACAAAAAGCATCTGAAGTACAGTAACAGATCATGTATATGTCCACAGTCTATGGCAGTTTTGCTGTTTGTCAGAAATTCTGAATGCTTGAAATAGATGGCATTCTCCTTAATAGATGAGTAATGAAAAGTCCAGATGAAGACCACTCACCATTACTCATAGAAAACCTAGTGGATCTGGCAAAGAACTTATCCTGAGGGCAATGAAAACTACTAGCTAGATAAGTTCTAGATTGTAGAAATAGGAAATGGAGTGGAGGACAAGAGATTAAAGGGGTAAATGTGATATGTTAGAAAGCTATTGTATTACACTGTGGTGAAAGGTGATTCTGGCTTAACTAAGGCACTGGTGGTAGGGATGGAGAGAAATGAGTGGATTTGGGAGGGGCCTCTGGAATTTGAATCAACAAACTGGTGGCTTTATTAGACATGGAAAAGGAAGAAAAGGTCAAGGTATGACATCCAGGTTTCTCACTTAGGAAACTGAATGGATGCTGGTATTTTCTAATAAAAAGGATACAAAAGAATGGAAGCAAATTCAAAAGATGGGTTTATATGTTCAGTTTGAAGACTACTGAATTCAAATGTTGGTCAGGTGTCAATTTAGGGGTTTCCCAGAGACTTTGAATCCAGCTATTTGTAACTTAAAAAAGAAATATGAGCTAAAAATATAAGATTGAATGATTTTCATATACAGGAGATAATGGAAGTCACCAGAAAAGACAGAACCATACAAATATTATGTTGAATAAAAAGAAAATAAATAGTGGGACAGATATCTAAAGAAAACCATTGTACTTCTGTTCTGATTAGTTAAACCAATATGTAAGAAGCAGACAGAAGGAGCACCCACAAAGATGATCCAGACAAAACTACCAGAAAGCCAAGAAAGCAAGAAAAAATGAAGTTTCTAGGCTTTTTATTTTCAGAAATGGGAGAGGTTTGGGATACATCTAGAAGTGCCCAGGGGCTATTCCTGGCTCTGTGTTCAGGAGTGACCCTTGGCAGTGCTCAGAGCACTATATGTGGTTCCAACCCTATGCGAGGCTGTGCCCTATCTTTCCTGCTTTCTCTCTGGTCCAAGACAAAAAAAACAAATTTTCAGTGCTTATTGCACTGAAGTTGGATTTAGTAACTAGTCTAAAAGGGAAAATGTGGTTTTAAGGGATGGTTAAAGTAGGGACCACAAAAAGTGAAAAAGTGTATGTAGATAAAACTTTCAAGAAGTTTGGTAGGAAGAGAGAAAAAACTAGGACAGAGAGAAACAGCAAAGGGTTGAAGTGTGGTGTCTTTGTGTGTGTGACCTGTGTTTGTATATAGTCTGCACAAACTAGTCGGTATAGACTATAGCATTTTTCTAAATGTTGATGGGAATGATTCATGAGAAAGGAAGGTTGAAGGTAGCAGGGATAGTCAATAGAGCTAGTGATGCTGAGTAAGGAAAATGTGACACAGTTCAGAGAACAGGTGCAAGAATTGGCTTCAATCCGCTGAGCTTGTTAATCACATACATCTGAGTGCATGTTACCCAGCACTCAGAATTACCCACAGGGGTCAGGGCAATAGTATAAGAGGAAAAGACACTTGCCTTGCATGCAGATGACCCAGGTTTGATCCCCAGGACACCTGTATGGTCCCCTGAGAACTGCTAGAAGTGATCCATTGAGTGCTGAGCCAGGAATAAGCCCTGATCACTGCAGGTGTGACCAAAAAAAAAAAAAGTTACCCACAGATTTTCTTAGCCACTCCCACCTCCCACTCAGGTATTACACTACAGATACCCATTACCCAGGGGTATGCCAGTGTTGCCAATAGAAATATGTGTGCTACCCACATTAGTTTGTTATGATCCACACATAACAGAAACTGGATATTACCCGTGCTCACTTAGACACTACCCACAGAAAAACAGCTGTAAATCAAACTCACTTATAATCTTGCCCACAGTCATTTAAATGTTACACATCAATCAAACACTTAGTTTCCTTTTCTTATTATCCACATGCAGATTACCCATGTTCGCTTCAATTTTTCTCTAGGTATTACCCACACACGTCGAGTATTAGGTTCACTAGGGTCTTGTGATTGTATTCCATCATACTCACAATTTTATTTACCATCTACACATTTTCATTTAACTTCTCACATACCTAATCACGAAAATATTGTGCTTACATACCTGGATATCATTTTTGTTCATCTGGCTTTTACTATCATCACTTCTCTGTTTACACTCACATCTCTGAATAGGACCCTTGCTTCCTGGAGATATTACCTACATGTTGAGATTCTGTAGAATACATACAGATTCTTGGAAGTACTGTTGTTTATTCAAATGTTAAAACCCCCTTTGGGGAGGGGTAGCAGATCAGTCCTTGGGAAACTGAGATCAAATCCAGGGCTCCCACATGCAAAACATGAGCTCCAACCCTTTGATCCATCTCCCTGGCCATCCAGATCTTACAATGCTTACTCAGATACTACCTAACTGTAAATATAACACACACACATTCAGACACTGCCTGTAAACATTGTTGTTACTCTTCTCCAGATATTCCTTACATAAATATGTATTACTCTTACACACCCAGTTTCAAAGACTAAAGCATTGCCCACTGATCAATCTGATATTTCCTATACACCTACACCCTTGAATATTGATCCTGGCTCCTCTGTTACTACCATTATACTTGTATGCACAAGCTTACCTGCTTATTACCCACAATTAGTTGAATGTAATCCATGATCATCTTAGACACATGGGTATTACTGTGAGGTCTGTGTGCTTGTGTTGACCATATCCAACACACCAGTGAGAAATATGATTAGAGGCATCAGCAGTTTAAATCCATAATTTACATTAGTGTCCATTCATGGTGGGTAGAAGTTCAGGGGATTCTAACAAATAATAACAGCAGTCCAGAATTACTTTGTTATACTGGGTAATAAAGTATTCACTGCTCTAAAACTTTCCTGTGCTACACCAATTAATTTCTCTTTCACTCAGATCCTTAACTCTAAGATTTGCTTTCAGTGTTTTGCTAATTTTCTTTTAGTTAGTCTTTTCATATCTCCTAACCATTTAATAACAAAGACTTGTGAATTAGTTATCATTTAACATAAGGTAACACCTGGAAATGCCCAGTGAAGAAGCAAAACTCTGTATTATTGTTAGTCACTGGAACTTTGTCCTATATTTTTCAAGAGTCCTATGTACATCTGAAACTTCACAATAATGAACCTAGACTCATATTCGTGCTGCACCACAATTCACCACATTTCATAGCTCACATATAAACACATTATTGGATGAATGTATGAGAACTGTATCTCTCGTGCTTCAGGATATAATACCAACTTAGATGTAACTATTGAATCAAGAACTAGCTGAAGCTCAGATCCAGAAAAGAATCTGAATTGATTGAGAGATAGGTTGGGAGGAGGGGAGAAACAAAAAGAATACAAGAAAGATTTGTGTTCAAAGACTGAAGACCTCTCTAACAGAGAAAGCTTCCCTTCTAGACTTCATTTGTTACACACACACACATACACACACACACACACACACACACATCTCAAATTATCATATATGTTTTCTATAAGAGACACTGATATGTCTTCCCTGCAGAAAAGTTTATAACCCATCTCTGTTCAACTCAGAGGCTTGTGTATAATAGTAAAAGTAACATACATATTAAAATCATGGCCTGTTGAAAAGCACAAGGACTTAATGCAGAGCCCGGCATCTTGCGGCAGAAAAGTGAATGGACTATGCATTTCAGCAGGTCTGATTTTGGGGTGTAAACTAAATAATAATGGTGCATCTTTTGCCGAAACAATGAATCTAATCAAAGTAGATAGAGTGTTAACTAGAATTCATCTGCCTCACAGGCTTTGGGAGGGTTGGGAGTGGGGGTATATTGGGGTTCTTGGTGCTGAAAAGTAAGCACTGGTGAAAGGAAATGTGTTTGATGATTGCATGACTGAGACTTAAACCTGAAAGCTTTGTAACTTTTCCCACAGTGATTCAATAAATAATTTTTTAAAAAAATTAAGCACAAAAAAACAAATCATGGTCTGTTGGGGCTGCAGTGATAGCACAGTGGGCAGGGCATTTGCCTTGCACAAGACCAACACAGGTTCAATTCCCAGCATCCCATATGGTCCCCTGAGCACCCCTAGGGGTGATTCCTGAGTGCAGAGCCAGGAATAACCCCTGATCACTGCGGGTGTGACCCAAAAAAAAAAGGGAAAAAAATCATGGCCTGTTATTGATACCACACACACACACACACACACACACACACACACACACACAAATACTTAAACAGTTTTCTCCAACGAGTCAGTCAGAAAAGTACATGCTGGAGGGGCTGGAGCAACAGCACAACGGGTAAGATGTTTGCACACGGCCAACCTGGGTTCGATTCCCAGCATCCCATATGCTCTCCTGAGCACCCCTAGGGGTGATTCCTGAGTGCAGAGCCAGGAATAACCTCTGTGCATCGCTGGGTGTGACCCAAAAAGCAAAAAAAATAAAAAATAAAAAGAAAGAAAGAAAGAAAGAAAGGAAGGAAGGAAGAAAGAAAGAAAAAAGAAAAGTACATGCTGGAGCTTTAGGAGCAAGGAGTGGAAAGACACTGGGATTAGAGGCAAAGCAGTTGTTTTTATGTGGTGACAGACTTTTTACAAATTTGAGCATGAGTTAACATTATGCCAAGTGTTAGAGATATACAGGAGAATAAGATAGACATTCCCCTGTACTCGATAAGTTTATAGTTTAGTAAGAAACACAATAAACTGAACATAATAATGCAGTGATAAATGGCAGGAGAGATTACAAAGAAGGAGAAAGGCTCCAAGATTAAGACTCAGTTGGGAGGAGGAGGTGGCATGATGAATGGCAAACAAACGAAGAAGATGTAGGAGGCAAGCTTTTAGTCATGAAGAAATTTAGTCCCTTAATAACCATGTGTTCCTAGCAAGTCATATCTTTGCTGAGATTAGTTCAAGGATCTCTAGTGAGCACTTACCTGAAGCCTATAAGGTTATCGGAATGAGTAAATGGTTTTCATTTGGGGCCTAAAATGAGAATCATCCAAATTACACAATGACTCCTGAAGCTGAGGGCCCTTTCCTCCCCTCAACCTGGAAGGCCCTGTCCCTCCCCTCTCTCCCTCAAGCTCCAATCGCACTCATGCTGACGCCATGGGTTGAAGTGATTAATTTCAGTGTAATTCAATTCCGTTTTGTCTGCGTCTACTTGGTTACAATATGGAGGCCCAAAGATGAATCTGTTTCCCAATAAACAATGACACAAATAGATGGGGTCAGTTCTCTGTCTGGCCCAGTAATGCTAGCTCCTTCCGGCGAGCTCCCACAGCACTTTGTGTATTCCTCAGCCTCACGTCTTATCACATTGTGTAACAATTATCTGTGTATTTATTCAAGATTCTCTCTAAACTGTGAGCTCTCCGGTGACAGAAAATTTGTCATCTCCAACTTTATGTCCCCAATGCCTGACCTAAAGGGAGTCTTCTGGAAGTGTTTGATAAATGAGAATAAATAGAGACCCTGTAAAGGTACAGCAGAAAGCATAGAAGAATTCAAACAGGGGCCAAAAAAACATTACAGTGGGTGAAGCACTCACTCTGTACACAATTGGCTCTAGGTTGATCCCTGGCACCCCATATAGTCCTTCAAGCCCCACCAGAAGTGATCTCTGAGTATCGTTGGATATGGTTCAAAAATAACAAAACAAAAAGAGAAATAGATTCTTACAGGTATGTATGAAAATCCCATGGGTCAGAGGAAAGTAATATTTGTTCCCAAAGGTACTGAGGTATCTAGAAAGACTTTACAAAGAAGCAGTTGAGCAGAGTCTTGAATGACAATGAAAGAACAAAATAGAACTTTACCACATCCAGAGAACAAGTTTGTGATGGGGAGGAGTTGGTAGGGGGTGGAGATGGGGGAGACAGTATAAATGAGGGGTTGGTGAAAGAGCATTCCCAACTAAAAACTAAAATGTGCAAGACAGAGAGTAATGAGTATGCATGGTGCCTTCAGGAAACTGAGTCATCCAAGGGATTAAGTGCACACACTGCAGGAAGGAGATGGGAGGAAGAAAGGACAGTTTTCAAAGAGTCTGAAGATGTGCTAAAGGGTGTAGGTAGAAGAGAGTAAGTGGATGGGGTGACGGTGGTTTGTTTTTAGACAGTATGGATATGATCTGATATGCTTCACAAGGTAGAGCTTCCTCCAGGGAAGTCAAGTGGAAAACTCTGAAAAGAGATCCGGGGATTTGGCAGCTTTAAAGCTTAGGAACTTGGGGAAGAAGTGTGCAATAAGTGATGAAGGAATGAAACATAAGACTGTGATGAACTGAGAGAATGAGAAGATGCACATCGACTCATCATTTCCTCAAGTTTGGCTAGAGAGAAGGAAGGATTTGGACCAAGGTTAGACAAGAGGTAGGTTTTCATAAGGGAGGAAAAAGTTAAGACGGTTTAAGTCTCAAGGGGGTCATGAGGTAAAGGGTTCATGTTCACCATTTATTTACTTACTGGGAGAGGGTGGAGCAGGGTTCTTGGGAAACAGGGGTCTCCCAAGGCCAGGTAGTGGCTATTAGGGATGATGAGATTTTAGGTTCTGGCTGACCTGCTTAGAGCCCTCCACCACCCCCTTTCCCTTTTCCTATGCAGAGCTGGAGCTGGCCGTTAGGATTACCCTTTATGCAGTGATCTTTCTGATGAGCGTGGGAGGAAATGTGCTCATCATCGTGGTCCTGGGACTGAGCCGCCGGCTGAGGACTGTCACCAACGCCTTCCTGCTCTCACTGGCCGTCAGTGACCTACTGCTGGCTGTGGCTTGCATGCCCTTCACACTCCTGCCTAATCTCATGGGCACATTCATCTTTGGTACCGTTGTCTGCAAGGCGGTTTCCTACCTCATGGGTAGGTGAGACAACCCACCTACCCCTAGCCTTGACCCTCTCCTCTCCTGAAGTCCCGCCTATATAAAGAGGGGTATTATACCTTTGGGAGGGTAAAGTTGGTGACACTGGTGAATGTGTTGTGTGTGCTTTCTCTTCCCTTCTTTAGGGGTGTCTGTGAGTGTGTCCACCCTAAATCTGGTGGCCATTGCCCTAGAGCGCTACAGCGCCATTTGCCGGCCACTGCAGGCACGGGTGTGGCAGACGCGCTCCCACGCTGCTCGAGTGATCGTGGCCACGTGGATGCTGTCAGCACTGCTGATGGTGCCCTACCCAGTGTACTCCACTGTGCAGCCAGCCGGGCCGCGGTCACTGCAGTGCCTACATCGCTGGCCCAGCGCGCGGATTCGCCAGACCTGGTGAGGGCGCTCAAGGGATTCCCGTCTCCATCTCCATTCACTGCTTCTGACTGCTACAGAATCTTCCTCTAGCTGTTCCACGAATTACCACTCCATATCCTTTCCACGCCTACCACCTTGGGATTCCCATGTGGAGCCTCCCCACAAGTTCATAGCCTTCCCCAGCAATAACCTCTAAATCCTCTTTCTGCCGCTGGGACTTGGCCCAACCTAGGAAATCATCCGTCCTTGAGAGCTCCATCCGTCCTTTGTGCTCTTTTTCCAGGTCGGTCCTGCTGCTCCTGCTCTTATTCTTCATCCCGGGTGTGGTGATGGCCGTGGCCTACGGGCTCATCTCCCGGGAGCTCTACTTAGGGCTCCGTTTTGACAGTGACAGTGACAGAGAGAACCAGAGCCGAGTCCGAAACCAAGGAGGCCTGCCGGGTGGGGTGGGTCCAGGTGGGTGAAATCCATCCAAGTGGGGGCTTCGGGAAGCAGATGGGGCCTAAAGGGGGTGGGGCGGGAAAGAAGCGTGAGAAGGAAGTGGGGAATGGAAATGGGGGAGTGGGTCAGGAAGAAGTCTGGCCGGGCGCTTGCGGGCACCCTGCCTGACCGCTCACCCTCTGTGCCCAGGTCCTGCGCACGCAAACGGGCGCTGCAAGTCGTCGGAGACGGGGCTGGTCGGCGAGGACGGCGACGGCTGCTACGTGCAGCTCCCACGCTCCCGGCCGGCGCTGGAGCTGTCGGCGCTCACCGCGCCCGCGTCTGCATCAGGATCTGGCTCCCGGCCCACCCAGGCCAAGCTGTTGGCTAAGAAGCGTGTGGTGCGGATGTTGGTGGTGATCGTTGTGCTCTTTTTCCTGTGTTGGTTGCCGGTTTACAGCGCCAACACGTGGCGCGCTTTTGACGGCCCCGGTGCGCACCGCGCGCTCTCTGGCGCGCCCATCTCGTTCATCCACCTACTCAGCTACGCTTCGGCCTGTGTCAATCCCCTGGTCTACTGCTTCATGCACCGCCGCTTTCGCCAGGCCTGTCTGGACACGTGTGCCCGGTGCTGCCCCCGGCCCCCGCGAGCACGCCCCAAGCCTCTTCCAGACGAGGACCCTCCCACCCCGTCCATTGCTTCCCTGTCCAGGCTGAGTTACACCACCATCAGCACCCTGGGCCCTGGCTAAGGAGCGTGGAAGTGAGAATGGGAGTGTGGGGGGTGGGAGGGAGGGGAGATGGGGGCTGAGGCAGGGCATACAGATTCCAGATATAAACCCATGCAGCCCCACAAAATACACAAACCCAAACTGAAATGACATACTGACACCCGAACAACTCACCTCCATATGCAGGGGGAAATGGCTTATCTGACAAAGAAAACAAATTCGATCCACACACAGCACATGAGACACACTCTAGAACTGAACACACAAAAACATGGCACTGACCATAGACACACGTGGACATGGCATCCCTAGACACATACTGTACCTACAGAGTGGAAACTGTCAGGGAAGCTGCCCAGCACTCTTACTTGTGGCACTGATTCTCTTAAGGCTCTGGAATCTACACTGGGCTGACTCCTGAGATGCCTTGTCTGTCCCCAACTTGACCTCACAGTGCCCTTCCTGGACAGCACTGAGAGCCAAGAGGCCTAATCTCACTCCCCCCCCCCCCCCCCCCCAGCAGACTGTTTTGCACTGAAAAAGGTTCTTCGGGTTTTTTTCCAGTTAGATACTGTGGCCCAACCCTGTGCTCCATTAGTTGACCCCTTCAAGAACTAATAAATGACTTGGGTTCCTCCTAAACTGCCTTTCTGAATATTCATTCTGGGGGATGGAAAGGAAGCATGCAATTCAGTGACAACCTTCCTGTCAGTTTTCTTCCTTGGCTGTTTTTTATTTGTTGTTGTTGTTTTGTTTTATTTTTGGGGGGTGCTTTTTTCCTTTGGTTGTTTTTAGTTTGTTGTTGTTTGCATGTCCCCTGACAAAAAGCTCCTGGTTTGAGACTAGATGAGGCTGGCTGTGTTTTCTCGAGTTGTTGCCCTGGACGCATCTTCAAACCTGTGTCATAGGTGGTAACTGGAAATTATGGTGGGGGTGGAATCTTCATGGCACATGTTTCCTGAGCACATTCTTTGGAAGTGGTACCATTTTTAAGGGACCATGTTGATGCCCATTTAAAAATAGTTTTTTTCTTTGTTGTTTTGGGGTCACACCCAGTGGTACATAGCCCTTACTCCTGGTACTGCACTCTACACTCTTACTCCTGGCGGTGCTCTGGGGATCATATGGGGATGCTGGGGATCAAACCCAGGTTGGGAGCATGCAAGGCAAATGCCTTACCCACTGCACTATCTCTGTAGCCTCAATGTTCATGTAAAATGTTGTGAAAAAATAAAAGGAATCAGAATTTTAAAAGATTCAGTATTCAATTGTCATCAAAACACTGCAGGGACTGGATCCTAAGAGGTGTATGGAAATTAGAGCTGGCCCAGCCATCCTGCTGTCCCACAGAAGCACCCATATGAAGGGTGAGAGTGAAGGAGCCAACCCTGAATGTGTTCTCAGAGCCCAGCCTCCCTCTTTACCATAAGATCCATCCAGTCACAGAGACAGACAGAGATGGCAGCATCAATTCTCCAAATTCTCAGTGACAATGACCACCAAGGCCATTCATGGATAATCAGAGGCAAGGTCTGTTGGAGGAGAACTTCCTTAGCACTTACTCTTATAACAGATGGAGAGACTGAGACTCAGAGCAGGGAGGAAAGAGCTACTCAAAGTCACTCTCTAAACTAGAGCAGCTGCAGCTGGGACCGAAGTCCTCCCATCAGGACCAGAGCCTAGTGTGTGGAGTCTGAATCTCATTTTTAGGATGCAGAATTTCATAGGACTGGAGTTATAGTACAGCAGGTAGGATGTTTGCTAGCATGCAGCCGACCCAGGCTCAATACTGGCATCCCATATGGTCCCCTGACCACCAGGAGTAATTCCTAAGTGCAGAGCCAGGAGTAACTGCTGAGCATCACCGGGTATGGCCCAAAAAGAAAAAAGAAGAAGAAGAAAAATACAAAATTTCAGATAGATAATTGCCAGGATACTGACCAAGACCTTGGAAGTGACCTGAGCAGTAATCCTCCTCGACACCACATCCAAAAAAAATGCTTTTAAAGTCCCCCCAGTACCTTCCACACACCCAGACTGGAGGAAGCAAAGGACCATGAGAACGGAGACTGGGTCTTCTGTTTACCAATGCTGAGACTGCTCCCATAGTCCTTTCACAGAGCTCTGGGCTGCAAAAGGCAGGGGGGAGGAAAGATAAGAGGGGGAAGGCGTTCCGAGCTGTCAAACACAACAGTGCTATTTAAAAATAGAATACCAGCTGGTCTGAGGAGCTGAAGGCAAGATATTGGGCCTTTATTTCTCTTGCCAGTTCCCTCAGGGGCGGGGAAGAGTTGTCCATGGGCTTCACAGCACTCCTCACCCCCCACCTTCCACAGTGCCTTCTGAAGGAGATGATAATATAGCTCTGAGTCAGCACCCATCAGGCCCTCCCGCTAGGCCTGTGATCATGAAGACCACCAGATGGCAGTGCAGAGCTCCATGAAGGGAGGATCTAGCCTGGAATATGAGTTTAAGCATTGAGACCCAGGCCTACCCTAGAAACCAATACCAGTCTTAGAATATTCCCACTCTTCGCTCAGTGCAGCCCTTTGTGTATGGAACTACACGTCCGTCTCCATCTCTTTTGCCCTAACCACTCACCAGACTTGGAATCTTGGGGTCCTTCCATCTATTTTCCCTCTCTGTAAATCTAACAAAACATTTTAGGTTCACATTTGATATCATTGTTTTCATGGGGTCCTGCTTGGCCATTCTGGCCATTCATTAGTCTAGCTCTTGTGGTATTTACTACTTCTCTTTTCTGTCTTTTGTGGTTATACATGTTCCTGCCAGATTCCTCATATTGACTGGGGGGACAGCCTGAGTTACCGGGTCTGGACAGAGGGTTGATAGCAGGATTGTGGGGAACCTCAGTGCTTTTCAGTGCTGCATGATACACCCTTTATCAATACAAGCATTTCGTTCTCAGAACTCTTCTACAGAACATTTCTCTTCACAGAATAGAGAAAAGATGCTGAAAAAAGAACCTAAAGGGTTACAGGAGTTTCTACAGGTCAAATGGAGGCAAGACCAGGACTCAGGTATCTAATTCCAAAGTTTCTTTTCCTGTGAACACAAAGACAGTACAGAGAGTAAGGTGCTTTGCCTTGCACACAGCCTGTCCCTGGTTGCCAGGACTGGCCCCTGGAGAACAGGTTTGAAGCAAGGGTGCTGAGAGCCCCAGAGACTGGAGCCCCATTTCTCTCTCACTTCCCTTATTTATCGTCTTAAGCCAACAATCATAAGAAGAGCGAGGGTAATCATTTACAAACATCTGTGTATCTAGGCTAACCTAACCAGTCTGTGTCAGAGCAATAGTACAGCAGGTAGGGATCACATCAGACAACCCAGGTTGTTTTCTGGCATCCCACATGGTCCCCCAAGCACCACCAGGACTTATTCCTAAATGCAAAGCCAGAAATAAGCCCTGAGCACCACTTAGTGTGCCTCAAAAATGGAAATAAAAATAAAACATAACTAGTTTAAGCTAATTAACAGGAAATAATACATGACTGACAGCACAAGGGGGTCATGTGACTGAGGGTCTCTAAAATGAATAATATTTAAAGAACCTTATCTAGGAGAGGTACAGAGATAGGAACAGTTAAAGACCTCGACCAAGGGGTCTTTCTCCCTGAGGTAATGGCTTTCCAGGAGGTAATAGTTCAATAAACTACCATCCCACCCCTCTTCTCAGTCTATGTGAGTCTATTCCTGACACCTGCTTTGATTCCCAACATTGCATATGGCACCCTCTATCCCTAAGCATTGTCAGAGTGATCCCTGAGCCCAAATCCAGGAGTAAGCTCTCAGCATAGCCAGCAGTGGCTCCAAAACCCAAAGCAAAGCTTCTTTTTATTTCCATTGTACCCTATTGCCTTCCTTCAAGTGTTGAAGCACTCGGCTCCAGCACTCCTGCCTCTCAAAAGTTGTATGATGTTTTGCAAAGTTTCTGAGTGAGTCTGTCTCAGCTATAAAACAAGAGTAATTATATAACCCCACAACTGCCATTTTGAAAATTTAATAACGCAATGTCCAAAAGTGCTTGTCACTGTACCAGACATATAACATAAGAAAAGTTAGACACGAGTATGAAGAAAAAGTACCAGAAAACGAGATCCTTTGTAGACAGATGTAGAGCCCCAACTGAGGGAACAGAGCTTTGGGGAGATTCAGAGCCTACTATGAGAGGTGTCAGAAAGCGATACAGTTAGAATTTGAACTCGGGTTTTCCTGGCTCCAGATCCCATGCTCTTTTCACTATGCACCCTGACTCTTTATTTCCCAGAAGGGACATTTAAGGTTAGCACTGTAGCACTGTCTTCCCGTTGTTCGTCAATTTGCTCGCGCAGGCACCAGTAACGTCTCCATTATGAGACTTGTTGTTACTGTTTTTGGCATATTGAATACACCCCAGGGAGCTTGCCAGGCTCTGCTGTGCGGGCAGGATACTCTTGGTAGCTTGCCGTGTTCTCCAAGAGGGGTGGAGGAATCGAAACCTGATCAGCTGTGTGCATGGCAAACGCCCTACCCATTGTGCTATTGGTCCAGACCATTTAACGTTTGAAAGGAACAAATTGGTTGAAAGCAATGAGGAACCATTCAGAGCTCAAAGTAGAAAAGCAGACATCTATTGCTATGCAGGCTAGGATCCTTTGGTGAGGTCCAGTTCTGGCATTCCCATTCCTGGAAGGAATCCTCTGGATACCCACAAGCAGAGAGAAGATATCTGACCCTCAAGTGTTACAGAAAAGTGGATTTCTTGAGTAGGTCTCAAAATCTCCTCATAAATTTCTGGTATGGGGGAACATCAGATGAAGGACTTATCAGAATGAACATGCCAGGGGCTGATCTTTCTCACAGACAACTGGAGTCAGAGTGTTGGATGACCATAGACTCCAGTTGGTCAGATCTAACTCATGGTTTCCCTTCAAGTTTTCTTCTAGACCTCAGTAGGGGTAGGGGAAAGATAAAAAGAATGATAATAAAGAATGGAGAGAAAGCAACCTCACCTAAATTCAAGGCTTTAC